CGATCAATTCATATATAAGATGACCAATTCGTATATAAGGCGATCAATTCGTATATAAGGCGACCAATTCGTATATAAGGCGATCAATTCGTATATAAGGCGACCAATTCGTAGATAAGGCGACCAATTCGTATATAAGGCGACCAATTCGTATATAAGGCGACCAATTCGTATATAAGGCGATCAATTCGTATATAAGGCGACCAATTCGTATATAAGGCGACCAATTCGTAGATAAGGCGGCCATCTCGTATATAAGGTGACCAATTCGTATATAAGGCGACCAATTCCTATATAAGGCGACCAATTCGTATATAAGGCGACCAATTCGTATATAAGGCGACCAATTCGTATATAAGGCGACCAATTCGTAGATAAGGCGACCAATTCGTAGATAAGGCGACCAATTCGTATATAAGGCGATCAATTCGTATATAAGGCGACCAATTCGTATATAAGGCGACCAATTCGTATATAAGGTGACCAATTCGTATATAAGGCGACCAATTCGTATATAAGGCGATCAATTCGTATATAAGGCGACCAATTCGTAGATAAGGCGGCCATCTCATATATAAGGTGACCAATTCGTATAGAAGGTGACCAATTCGTATATGAGGAGGCCAATTCGTATATAAGGCGATCAATTCGTTTATAAGGCGGCCAATTCGTATATAAGGCGGCCAATTCGTATATAAGGCGACCAATTCGTATATAAGGCGCCCAATTCATTTTCAGCTATATTAATCACATTATTAGAGCCATCACTGAGTCAGAAAAAATAGAATCCAGCAATGGGTACAAAAATACAAAACCAAAAGCAAGAAATCTTGATTTCACGAGTTTTTAGAGTTTTTTAAAAAAGGGATTTCCTGAAGGTCAGTCTGGTCTTTCAATTTCACAAAAAAGAAGAGTTCACATGGATTTATTTGCCCATTGCACTTGAGTTTTCCCTTAGAAACCATTTCATTTCAAAGATTTTTGAAAAAAAACCTCAAAGAACGGCTTTTTTCTAAAGTCTAAAACAAAATTCAACTTGTTTTCTTATTTTTTTTTTGAGGAATTGAAGGCTTTGATTCTATTTTCACAAAGAAATTTGAAAAATTCACAAATTCACATTTTATCTCCATCAAATTCATATTAAAAACTACTAATTTAACTTTTAAAACGAAAATTGCCCCCAGCTTTTTGTTTATTTACATACCGTAAATACTGTAATAGTACCCCCGCCCCATAATGACGGTGCGGAGTGTTGCGTAGTCTAGCTTTGAACGAATGTTTCTCGACACTGGTTTATGCTACAATGCTATAATAGGTATCAAAAAATAGCTGAAATTCAGGGCTATTTTTTGATACCAAAGACGCATTTTTTGAAAGTACGAGCGCTTTGAAAAAAAATGAAATACTAAAAAACTTTTGCGACTACGCGACTGTACGAGGGAGGGGGTTTTACTTACCGTAAATACTGTACTATTACAGTATTTACGGTAAGTACTTTTAAAAGCTCTATTCGAGACTTGTTAACTCAATTCGTTTGAGAAAAGAGAACCGTATTGGAACGGTATTGGAACCGTATTAGATCAAAAAAAGAACCGAATTGGAACCGGATTGGAACCCTATTGGAACCGTATTGGAACCGTATTGGAACCGTATTAGATCAAAAAAAGAACCGTATTGGAACCGTATTAGATCAAAGTGACTTCAAAAAGTTACAGTATTTACGGTAGTTTTACCGGGTTTTTTTAGTGTTTTCAAGGTTTTTCCTTATGCAATTCTTGTAGGGGAGACTGAAACGCATTTCCCATTTTGCATTTTCCCCGGCCCATCTTCTGTTTGTCGTTGTGAACTGTTTGTCGCAAGTGAACAGTTAGGGCTTAGATGAGGCTCACAATATTGCAAAACTTCAAACAGTAGCTTAGGTAAATGTTTATCTAATCTATCTTGTACAACAAACTAAACTAGAGCTTTAAATTACCTGCTATAGATACTGTAACAGTACCCCACCCCCATAATGACGGTGCGGAGTGTTGCGTAGTCTAGCTTTGAACGAATGTTTCTCGACACTGGTTTATGCTACAATGCTAAAATAGGTATCAAAAAATAGCCCTGAATTTCAGCTATTTTTTGATACCAAAGCGCGCATTGTAGCGTAAACCAGTGTCGAGAAAAACTCGTTCAAAGCTAGACTACGCAACGCTCCGGGTACTCCGAGTACTATTACAGTATTTACGGTATGTTGTAGCTGAAGAAAGACAGGAGATCTATTAGGCTGTTCAAAGAATCTTTTCGTTCCGTACTTCTGTTTAAAAGCAATGATTAGAGTTAATGATTGGCCCTTGAATGCGGAGTGTTGCGTAGTCTAGCTTTGAACGAGTTTTTCTCGACACTGGTTTATGCTACAATGCTAAAATAGGTATCAAAAATAGCCCTGAATTTCAGCTATTTTTTGATACCAAAGACGCATTTTTTGAAAGCACCGGTGCTTTGAAATACTAAAAAACTTTTGCGACTACGCGTCTCTACGAGGGGCTTATTTTTTTTTGAGCAATTAAAGGCTTTGATTCTATTTTCACAAAGAAATTTGAAAAATTCACAAATTCACATTTTATCTCCATCAAATTCATATTAAAAACTACTAATTTCACTTTTAAAACGAAAATTGCCCCCAGCTTTTTGTTTATTTTTTATTTTTTTTTTTTTTTTTTTTTTTTTTAAAATTTTTTTTTTTTTTTTTTTTTTTTTTTTAAAAAAAAATTTAAAAAAAAAAAAAAAAAATATTAAAAATAAAAATATTTTTTTTAAAAAAAAAAAAAATATTTTTTTTAAATAAATAATAAAAAAAAATAATATAATGTAAAAAAAAAAAAAAAAAAAAATACATAGCTGTTTTTTTTTGTGGCCGACAATCGAGCTTTTCAGCTGAAATTCTTTCGTTTTTATTATAAAAAGAAAAAGAAAAGAATTTTCTTTTGATTAATTCAAGTTATTTCTATTTTTACTTTAAAAACAAAGGGTTTTGTTGAAAATATTAAGTGAAAATCGAATTTGGACCTTTTCTCGTTTCTTTGAGCTTTGAAATCTTTGAAATCTTTGAAAAATCTTTGAAACCTTTCTTTTTTTTGCCAATTCTTTCATTTTTTTATAGAATTTTACTCAGTTAACATAAAAATTTAAATATTTTAAATTTTGAATTGGTTTAATTACCCAAAAGAAACTGAAAAACTGACTTTTTTGCAAAAAAAGACGTTTGAAACGCGGAAATTCTAGTCTTTTTTTATGTTTTTTGCTTTCTTTTTCTTTTTTTCTACATGATTAAGAAATTTAGAATGATTGATTGACTATTGTAGATTATTAATATTTGTAGCTTTCTAATGCAGCTTAAAACCCAACTCGAACCAAACTAGTGCTTACCGTAAATACTGTAATAGTACCCCACCCCCATAATGACGGTGCGGAGCGTTGTGTAGTCTAGCTTTGAACGAGTTTTTCTCGACACTGGTTTATGCTACAATGCACGCTTAGGTATCAAAAAATAGCTGAAATTCAGGGCTATTTTTTGATACCAAAGACGCATTTTTTGAAAGTACGAGCGCTTTGAAAAAAATGAAATACCAAAAAGTAGCTTTCTAATGCAGCTTAAAACCCAACTCGAACCAAAATAGTGCTTTTTGTGGGAGTGGGACAAATGCTACCTTTTTTTGCGCACCCGGACATTTGCGCACCTTTTTTCGCACCTTGCCCATTAGCGCACCTTTTTTCGCGTTTTAAAAGAGCTTAAAAAGCTCTAAAAAGCTAATATTAACCAATTTCTATTCCAAAAGTTGTTTTTCTAGGTAATTTTAGGGCGTAGAATCGAAATTTTGGCATATCGGAGCTTGTGGAAGCGAACGAACGGAGTTATACAAAGAGAAAAATCAACAATTTTCTGTAATTTGACCTAGCCGTTTTGTTTTTTCAAAGACAAAACGTTTTGTCTGGTTCCACACGCTCTGTTATGTCAAAATTTGAATTCTACGCCCTAAAATTACCTAGAAAAACAACTTTTGGAATAGAAATTGGTTAATATTAGCTTTTAGAGCTTTTTTAAAACCCGAAAAAAGGTGCGCTAATGGGCTAAGTGCGGAAAAAAAGGTCGCATTTGTCCCACTCCCCTTTTTGTATAAGAGTTCACCCTATTTTTTTTTTTCATTTTTTCTTAAAGTTCAATAATTGCAAAATTATCCTTGTTCTTAAACATTTAAAATTACAACATTTTACCAAATAACTTTAATTTTAATCTTTACCATTCCATTAAAAGTTTCATTCGTTATTTTGAGCTCTGTTCGTGGGGTGGCTACTTCGCGCAACTAAGTCTTTTGCGCAACTCGCCATAACTTTCTTTTAAGTCGTCCAATCATGATGATTTTGATGTCATTTGTTACACTTCTTATGATCTACACAATGAAACCAGTAACATAAAGATTGGCCGACTCAGAAGAAAGTTATGGCGAGTTGCGCCAAAGTAGCCGCGCAAAGTAGCTACCTAGTTGCGCAAATGACCCAGCAAAGGACGCCATAACTTTCTTCTGAGTCGGTCAACCTTTATGTTTTTAGTTTCATTTTGTAGATCTCAATAAGTGCAACAAATGACACCAAAATCATAAAGATTGGCCGACTCAGAAGAAAGTTATGGCAAGTTGCGCGAACGATCCAGTTGTGCAAAAAATTTGGCGCAAAGTAGCCACTTCCCCGTGCGTTCCTAGGTATCTTATTTTCTTATAAAATTCTTGTTTCTTAATAATTTAGGTATTGCTTTAAAGATAGTGCTTAAATTCAGATTATCATTTATTCATTTAACATGTTCGAATTTGATTTAAAATTTGTATTGAATTGTATGGAATAGATGTTATTCTTTATTATATATTGACTATTAAATGAAAGTTTCTTTATTTTTCAGTTTCCTCACAACTCGCCCTAAATTTTGGTTATTCAATATTGCTGAAACTGGAGATGCGATAAAGATGCGGATATTGATAATCGGTTCGATTCTCTGCTGGTTTTGTCTGGCGAAAGAGTAAGTTTTTTATAATTTGCTGTAGGCTGATTAGTGAATCTTTTGCAAGATTTCATATAATGAAAGATTTACCGCATTTCTTTTAGCAATGTCCCAATCATTGTCACTCCACCGGTGCTGCGGTTGAACTCGACAAACACAATTTTCATCACTCCATTGCATCGAGTCAATGGACCAGCGGATATCAAAGTGAAGGTAAAGATCCTGGTCAGGGGTTGGAATCAGATCCGATTCAACTCGGATCCGATTTAACTCGAGGTTACAATGATCCGTGACAATGATTCAACTCGGACTGTGATTCAACATTCAACAGTGACAATGATTCAACTCGGAATGGCAATGATCCGATTCAACTCGGAATCCGAGTTGAATCGGAGCTGAATTGAATCAAATCCGAGTTGAATCAAATCCGAATTGAACCGGAGCCGAGTTGAATCAAATCCGAATTGAATCAAATCCGAATTGAATCAAATCCGAATTGAATCAAATCCGAATTCAATCAAATCCGAATTCAATCAAATCCGAATTCAATCAAATCCGAATTCAATCAAATCCGAATTCAATCAGATCCGAGTCCCAGAGTTGAACCTAACTACAAACTCTTGGTATTGCTCTTCTTAAAACTGAAATCTTTTGATTAATTTGAGCCAGCCAAGCCAAAGCCTATGATTCGTCGCTCTATTTTAGCAATAGCTTCTTTAATCTTTTCTTTTAGGTCCATGAGTTGCTTCAAAATGGAAACTATCAAACCGAGTACCGGCATGCAAAGGGGAAAATCTCAGGTTTGTGAGAGAATTGGGACTTAAGTTGGATAAATTCTAGGTCACGCTCACCCGGTTTCATTCAAAGTCAACAATGATGCTATTGAGGCGAATCTCACTGTTACGGTGGGTTTGAATGAAGTATATAAACTAAAATAGTAATTGTTAGGTATCCGGCCATGTTGAGCAACAAATTCGTCTTCTTGTGGCCCCGGATTTGAGAACGATTTATTTAAAAACAGACAAAGGATTCTATAAAGCCGGCGAAACGAGTAGGTTTTGTTTTTTCTACTTTTTTACTATTTTGTAAATCTTTCAAGATATCAAATCTATATTTAAATCTGCAATTTGTCCTTTTTCAGTCAATCTCCGCTCTGTACCAATCACGATCAATGGAGAGATTTATGTTGGACAAATCGAGTATGCATTGGTGGTGAGTTGAACGTTTATTTTATGACAAGATGACATGAAAGATGGTTTTATTTTGAAGCAGCTCGTGGACAGCTCAATCATTTTGAAGCAGCTCAATCAAAAAATAAAAAACTATTAATATAAAAGGCTAATTAGTTGTTTCTAAAGATTGACTGTACTTTTATTTGGTTTTAAATTATCAGACAAAGTATTTGACAAAGCTGCTGTACTTTGAACCCTATCTATTACTAAACTAAGGGTATTAGCTTGAAATTTGTTGGAAAGAAGGCTTTCAAAGTACTGTAGAAGTAATAGTTTATCTAAAAAGTGCTTATTTTGTTTATGGAGTGTTTAAATGTTTCAATTTCAGAACCCTGATGGATTTGAATTGACAAAGCATGTGGTTTCCGCTCCGAATACTCCATTGTCTCTAACATTCGATTTACCTGAACATCTCTTTTATGGAGAATGGCAAATTAAAGCACGGCCGATCAACTCACAGAATCAACCTTTATTAAACTTTGCTGTCTCGTTTCAAGTCACGGATTACGGTAACATTGCCAGTTTTTTAAAAATAATAAAATCTTTAGCTCTTCCACCATTTGTTCTTGATTTTCAAATTCTTGACGGTGATTCAATGACGGAAACTAAATTGACAGCAAATGCACAGTGGGTTTTAAGTTTTATTAGGGAAATTGTAATAAGGAAGTGAAGGAATTGGCAAAAAGTAGAGTGGAGAGGAGGGGAGAGAAGATCGAGCCCATGATCTCTTGCTTTTTAAGCCAATTGCTAACCACTCAACTATCCGGTACCTTAACTTGTCAAGAGAAAGACGTAAAGATAAGGGGAAGAAGGAGAAAGGAAGAAAGAAAGAAAGAAAGAAAGAAAGAAGGAAGTCAATTGTTCAAATCACTCAAAACTAACTGAATCCCATTTTCTGGATCAAGAATTTCAGCCAGTGCTAGACCAGATTTGAACCAATTCTTTACAATTGATGACCTGGTTAAAATGGTTTATTTAATTTTCCATTTTCTAAGTTAAAAATTGAAAAACAGGCTTTACGGTTCTTTTTCGTTAAACATCCGCAAAAATAAAAACCCCGATCATTTCCGTTATACATCCGCAAAATTTGTATCCTTCCATGAAAGAAAACCACAGAAAATTAATTCTTTTTCTATTTTCTGACGGCGCGGTGGATTCATGTTTCGCTTATCGACTACCAAAACTGATGCAATCTCGTTCTTTCAACAATGCCGCATCTTGCTTACTACTCGAACATGCGCCAACTTTATGAAGCTATCGCTCAATCAGAATCCCCGATGGAGATGTGACAAAACGTGCCGGACAGCGGCCTGTGTGTTGGCTCATGGATGGAGGGCACCAAAATTTCGTTCTCACAATCTTACGCTTCATCTATGGATGGACTCAACAGTAGACGTCAATCGACTATTGTGCGAAAGAATTGGAGATGAATCACAACACCACGCTCGACTTCAACAACAACAAGGGACCACAACAACCGCAAGGGATCTTTTCGTGGAATATCTGGTGAACAAGCCGAGTGGAAAAATTGGAGGACTCAATCGAATCGTTGAGGTGAACGAGTTTCTCTTCTCGAAGCGAAAGGCGAATGTGGACCGCATCTTGCCGCAAGTGTGGATATTTGGAGGAGTTTGCCGAGAAATCAAGGAATTTTTTCTGGTAGAGGTGGCCGACCGCTCGACCAAGACCCTATTGGAAGCGATGATTGAACACATCGAGCCGGGAACTCAAACTTACTCCGATTGTTGGCGAGGATACGACGCTCAACAGATGGAGGAAGCCGGTTTTACCCACGCTCAACCACAAGTACAAGTAGTCAACCACAAGTACAACTTCCTGAATCCGGATGAATGGCAGATTCACACGAAGAGCGTCTATGAGGATCTGTCAAATGGAGAAACAAGAAGCATCGCTGCACGGCAAATCATTTTCTATTGAGCTAACTCGCTGAATTCATGGTCTGACAAAAAGTGGGAAGGGACGATTTTTACAAATGGGTATTGCAACAAATTGCTACGGCATGGATTCCTCATGGATGGAGGACATCAGAATTCCGTTTCTCACAATCCTACGATTCACTTATGGATGGACTCAACAATGGACTTCGGTCGACTATTGTGCTAAAGAATTGGAGATCAATCACAACACCGCGGTCGACTTCAACAACTACATGAGGGATCTTTGCGTAGAATTGAATTGATTGATCGATTTTTGATTATTAAATGATCAGGGGTTATTTTTGCGAATGCATAACGGAAAAGTATTGGCTTTATCTTGATCTTTGATCCCTTGATTTGACTAGAAAGTTTGGGTTTAAAAAATTGAACTGTCAATGAGCATTTTACTTTAATAGATTCTGTAGGAAGACTGGACTTAAGCTTAAGTTTTGGACTTAAGCTGAACTGACTGAAATGTAAGTACTTCTTTTATAGGTCTTCTTTTCTAAACTACCGTCTTTCCTAATAGTAGCGGACCTTAAGCTTTGCTTAAATTGCTTGAAATCTCGAAAACCGCTTATCAGAACCTATCGATGTCGGAAAATGTAGCTGAGGATGAGATCTAGTGGAGGATTTGAGTGTTGAGCTTCTGGGAAAACTTAGAAACCGTAAAATAGTCATCAACTCGGCTCAGCGGGGGGCACTACTATTAGGGAGAAGACGGTAATTGCCGTATTGTAGTAGTAGTGTAGTAGTAGTACTCTAATAGTAGTGCACGTTAAGCTTCGCCTAAATTCCTCGAAATCTCGACAGCCGCTTATCAGAACCTATCGATGTGGGGTCGGAAATGTAGCTGACGAGTGTCCCTATTAGATCTTGTAGGGGATTAGAGTGTTGGACTTCTGGGAAAACTGGGCAACCGTAAAATAGTCATTAACTCAGCAGGGTGCACTAGTATTAGAAAAAGCTATAGGTTTTTTCAGTTACTTCCACGGTGGCCTTGTTTCCGGATCGGTGACGTTGAATTGCTTCGATCCCGACTCTCAAACTCCACACGAGAAGCAACTCCATCAACCGCTACTCGTCGGCGAGGTTGGTGGCTTTGATATCTAAAAGATTTATAGTACTAGACAGCTTGTAGTAACTTTTAAAAGCTCAATAAAAATTGAATTGATTGAGCTCAGCTCAATAAAAATAACAATTCATAACTATTTTCTTAACTGAATCAAATTCTAAAGTTTCTTTTGAACTTTTTCGATCAAATTCCCTTCATTCTACAATACTTAGGTCAATTCTAAACTCTGAACAATTAAAAATAACTGTGCAGTACTTTTTGTAATAGATTTCTTCTATATTCTTTGTTTTTTTATTATTTTAAGATATCGAAATTTTTTTTTTTATAAAAAATTGACATAATTAAATCTATTCGAAACTTTTACGATTTAAAATTTCAAAAAATTAACGATTTCCTTTGGGATTCTTAATCGTATCAAAGAAAGAAACTGTTTATTAACGAAAAAAAAAAATGTGAAACATGTGAAAAATGGACAAAATGAGATCACAAGATAAGTGAGCAATTCAAGAGCAATAGGAAAACCCCAAAAGAACATATCAAAGCAATAGGAAAACCCAGAAAGAACAAGTAGAGAAAGAATAATAATGAAAAAGTTTAACCCTAAGAAAAGTGCCGTTTTTTGTTTTTGATTTAACCCAAATTTTTACCGACACTGATAAGCGTACAATAAAGGATTTATGAGAGAATTTACGATGATCAAATCCTCCAACAGAGCCGCACCACTCACAAAGAGCGATTCGTAATGTTTACTGTCGATTAATCTAAATGAAAATTGAGTTTTTTCATCTAAAACTTAATTTTCTTGCTTTATGGAATATTTCGTTTGGTTTAAAAGCGATTTTTTCAAAGTAAACAAGATCAGAAATCAAGTCAGAAGTCAAGCCTGGCCCTGAGCTAGGCAAGTTTAAGGCCCTAGCGGCCTAGCCTTGCCTTTGATCTATTAGGTTAGAAGGTTTTTTTACACTTTTTGATCTTTTCTATCAATCTGGGCCCGAATCGATCGCAAAAGACTCGTTCGATAAAAGAAAACTTGAGAGAAGATGATATAAAGAAATCGGCTAAACAAGTTATTCTGAAAATTTGGCTATAAACCTAACTTTTTGTGGTTTCTCTTTTGCTATTGACACCGAAATTGGTTTTTTTAGACAAAAGTCTCTAAATCTAGTCGTCTTTTTTCTATTTCTTTCGTCTTTTTCACTAGCCGTATTCGCACCTTTGAATAGAAAAATAGAAAAAACATTTCTAAAATACCAGGCCTTTCTAATGAAGCAAATCGTGGGTCAATAGGTGAATTGGTTCTTTCTAAATAGTTCTAAGTGGTTCAAAAAATTCGAAATCGTTTTAAATAGCTCTAAATAGTTCAAAGACTTATCGGCTAGTCTAATAGAAGTCAGAGGTTGCTGAAACGGTGATTGTAACCTAAATCCAGGCTATAAAGTTGAGTCTGCCTTTTCTTGGCCTTGTTCTATCCAATCCTATAACCCATCTTGCTGAAACATTTCCGATTGTAGCTCAAAACTAAGCCAATTGTGGGACAAGGCTGGATCTGGTTTGCCCTGACTTAGCTTGTCCTTATGGCCTTGCCGAAATATTCCTTATTGTAAACCAGGCTACAGTAATCAGATTCAGACTACATGATCAGTGATTCAGACTACAATAATCAGACTACAATAATCCAGACTACAATAATCCAGGCTACAATAATCAGACTACAGTAATCCAGGCTACAATAAGCAGGTTACAATAATCCAGATTACAAAGCTAGGCCAGGCTTGGCTTTGTCCTTTTATTCTATTAGATTTTGATCTTTTCCAAACTTCTCACTCTGTTTCGATTCATTTCCCTCTCAAATTCTTGATTGTTGCCCTTTGGGAAACTCCAAAATTTTGATCATTTCTTGGAAACGTTACTAATTATTGAAAACGTGCAAAAGATTATCTTAGAAGACTTTTGCCCTTTTCTGCTCATTATTTTGCAAACCTCAATGTGTTGATCAAATTGTACGGTAACCACATCATGCAATGAGCCGCGACAACAGCAAGCGCTGTGATGAAAATTCTGAAAGAGTTTTTTTAAAAGTTAATCCAGCTACATGATACTCAGAGCTTCAAGATTGTAATGTAAGTTAAAGTTTAAACTAGCTACAGTAAGCAATAGCTTTAATAGCTGTATTACCATCTTAATTCTCTTTATCGAAAGTTGCATAGCTTAAAAACTAACTTATTCTAGCAATTTTCAAGCTGATGCTATTTTGTGACTCGGCTACAGTAACCGAAAGTTTGCTAGCTTAAAAATCAATTTATATTCTAGCAATTTTCAAGCTGATTCTACTTTTTGACAGCTACAGTCTCCCTAAGCCTACAGTTTTTCAAACTCTCACCTTGATCTAATCTGTCGTCGCCAAATTGGCAAGCTTCCCGTTCTCGTAAAAGTCGAGAAACCCTTGAGACGAGCTGAAAACTAGCAGCTTTATTATCTGGATTTTTAGATTTCTAAAAACGAAATCTTATAGTTTATTTGCAAACAAAAACATCGATTTTAGCTTTTAATCTCACACTTGACCACTGTGAATCCATAGACCCGTGGCGCAGTGGATAGCGCGCTGGTCTCTCGCTCAAAGGAGGCGGGTTCGATCCTCGCGTTTGGCTCCAATTTTGCTTTTTAAAAAACCCAAAAACACGTGGCACAACTACATTGAATTTTCTATTCGATGAAGCAAAATTTATTGCAAATGGTCCTCTGGGGTTGAGAAGTAGTGTGTACAGACAGATAGACAAACAGACAGGCAGGCAGACAGACAGGAAAACAGACAAACAAACAGACAAACAGACAAACGTCTTGGTCCCTTTATATAGTAAATCCTACCACAAAATCTCTGTTTCGATTGTTGAATTGCTCTTGGTCCTGGATCCGAAGCAGTGGAGCTTTTCTTGAAGTTTGGAGTCGACGTCGATACGGATAGCCATGAGCCGAGTGGTCCTTTTGACACTTCGACTTTATCCAAAGCAATCGATTCGACAATTAAGTGGTCACAGGAAGAGGGAACTCTGAAAGAAAAAGAGCTTAGGTCAAGTTTTATAACTTGAAAAACTCTAGCTTGTTACATTGGTCTGTAAAATTACTGTAGCTGTTTATCTTCTCTTCTATTTTGACTATTTTAGCTATCATTCGACGCAGAATAGAATTTCGCGTCGAATGATATAAAAAGTAACTCAAAATATAATATCCATACAAAGTTATGCGGGGTGTCGGTTTTTAGTCAATAACTTTACGTGGATATTATATTTTTGAGTTACTTTTGGTATCATTCGATGCGCAATTCTATTCTGCATCGAGTGATAGTGAAAATCCAGTACCTGAGTGGATTATAGGAAACGGCTTGTCGACATGAGACATCAGAGTGCGAGCTTTTGCTTGAGCGAACAACCTAAAGCTTTAAATAGCAATTTTAAAAGCAATTTTTGCAAACTTTTTTCGGTGTAAACGTATAGTGCAACAATCGAATGACAATCAAAAGATATGAGAAGAAAATGATCGTAAACGGGATCCAGAAAACGGCGGCTTGATGCAAAAGCTCGTAGGTGATGGGTAAACCGGGCCACCATCTAAGCAGCTCTTCCATTGGGGTTGACTGAAATTTTGGTTCCTTATCTCTACGAATTTGGTTCCTTATCTCTCTAAATTTGGTTCCTTTTCTCTAAATTTGGTTCCCTTTCTCTAAATTTGGTTCCTTTTCTCTAAATTTGGTTCCTTTCTAGGAATTTGGTTCCTTATCTCCAACAAATTTGGTTCCTTATCTCTCTAAATTTGGTTCCTTTTCTCTAAATTTGGTTCCCTTTCTCTAAATTTGGTTCCTTTTCTCTAAATTTGGTTCCTTTCTAGGAATTTGGTTCCTTATCTCCAACAAATTTGGTTCCTTATCTCTCTAAATTTGGTTCCTTATCTCTAGGAATTTGGTTCCTTATCTCTACAAATTTGGCTCCTTATCTCTCTAAGTTTGGTTCCTTATCTCTACAAATTTGGCTCCTTATCTCTACGAATTTGGTTCCTTTTCTCTCTAAATTTGGTTCCTTTTCTCTACAATTTGGTTCCTTATCTCTCTAAATTTGGCTCCTTATCTCTACAAATTTGGCTCCTTATCTCTATAAATTTAGTCTGTAAGTCGAATCAAAATATCAAACTTGATTTATTCTGTTCTCAAAGGAAGACATGACTAGATCTGATCTTTCAAACCAAAGTCTAACGTTTTCCCTAGATTTAAATCACCGGAAGACTTACTTCCTAGATTCCTAGATTTATTATAAGGTTAGTTTCCTTTTCTCTCTAAATTTGGTTCCTTATCTCTACAAATTAGATTCCCTTTCTCTACAAATTTGGTTCCTTTTCTCTCTAAATTTGGTTCCTTATCTCTCTAAGTGACATGATCGATAAAATCCGGCAAATCTCACAAATCCACCAGAAGGGGTGCGTTTTGAAAGCGCAAACGACCGTTAAACTGTGTTTTTACATCTTCTAGCACTCATTTTCCCTCAAACTTTCGATACTTTTCTTCAAACTTTCAAAGCTTTTCCCATTTTCACTTCCTATCATCAATTTCCATCATTTCATGACTCAATTTCTCATTAAACATCTAAATTTCATCGTATTTTAAACATTTTTTTACTTTTCTAAGTCTATCATCACGATGTCTAATCTTTTTTTGATCAAATTTTTTATAAAAAAAGTTCTCATTCTCATTCTCATTTAATCTCTTTACTTACATAGTAATTTGATAAAAAATAGAGCAAAAATGATGATTTTTCCCTTTAAACGTAAGCAAATCATGCTAAATAGTAGAGAAATTTCAAAATTTTTAAACTTTAATTGAATGAAAAGCGAAAACTTTAAGTTTTTCACGAAAAACCTCGATTTTCATGAAAAATCTGAGTTTTTAGAGATTTCTGAAACAATTTTGCAGTTTAATTATCCAATTTTCCTTTTAAAAAGAGATTTTGGTGTGGAATTTTGATAGCTTTTGGACAGCATTTTGTCCAAGCATTTTCAAAGCATTTAAAGCATTCAAAGCATTTAAAGCATTTCCAAAGCATTCAAAGCATTCAAGAAAGCATTTTTTTATGGAAATGTTTAAATGAAATCAAATTTGGAATGAAAGCCCTTTGTTTATAGACTTTTTCAAATTTAAACCGCGGTCAGGGCCCAGAAGTGGCTCATTCCTTTTGCAAATTCCCTTTGCTTCCAATGCCTCTTTATCAAATTCATTTCCCGTTAGAGCCGCTAGATTATGGAACTTGCTCCCAAACGACATACGAGAAATTCAGTCGCTTTTCATATTCAAGAAACGTATCGATGCCTTAGATCTAGTGGCTCTTTGCCGTAAGTAATTGGCTTATTGATTTCAGTATGTATTGTATGATTAAGTATCACTGTGCATTTCTCTATCATTTCTTTCACTTTATCGTTTGAATAAAGTATTATTATTATATTCAAAGCATTCAAGAAAGCATTTTTTTATGGAAATGTTTAAATGAAATCAAATTTGGAATGAAATCAAACGTTTTTTTTTTCAAGTTTTCAATTAGTTATTCGACTTTTTTTCGGCTTAAAACCAAGATCGAAACGTTTTTTTTCGTATTCCATTGAAAGTTTTTGAACTTTTTTGAACTTTTTATCTACTAAAAACCTTTCAAATGTTTCATTTTCTAGAGTGAATTAGAAATGATTCGATTTTTTAACGAAAAAACGGTGAATTTTTAAAAAAATCAAAATTTAGCTTAAGAAAATCACGTTTTAAGCAACAAAAAAAGTGAAAAATTTCGATTTTAAAGAGATTTTTGAGACAATTTCGCGCTTTAATTAGCCAATTTTTCTTTTAAAAAGAGATTTTGGTGTATTTTGATAGAGAATTTTTAGTTTTTGATAGTTTTTCGACAATTAAAGCATTTTTCGATGTAAATTCGTGCATGAAATCAAACTTTTTTCAAGTTTTCAATTAGTTATTCAACTTTTTTTCAGCTCAAAACCAAGATCGAAACGTTTTTTTGATCTTTTTGGTGTACTAAATATCTTCCAATATCTAAATATCTTTCATTTTTGAGAGTGAATTAGAAAAGATTCGATTTTTCGACGAAAAAACAGAATTTAGCTTAAGAAAATCACGTTTTACGCGAAAAAAAAGTGTTATTTTGATTCGAGAGTTTTCTTAGATTTCTTAGATCTAATCTAGCTCTAATTTGGGTCTAATTTGGGTCTAATTTTGCTCTAATTTAGCTTGAAAATTTGATGGAAAAAGTTAGCGTAAAGAAATGAAAGTCATTTTAGATTAAAGTAAAGTAAATTTTGGTGAAAAAGTAAATTTAAAGGTAGCTTTAAAGGAGATTTAAAGGAGATTTAAAGGAGATTTAAAGGAGATTTAAAGGAGCTAAATAGGAACTATCAAGGAGCTTTAAAGGAGCTTTAAAGGAGCTCTAAAGGAGCTTTAAAGGAGCTAAATAAGAACTATCAAGGAGCTTTAAAGGAGCTCTAAAGGAGATTTAAAGGAGCTTTAAAGGAGATTTAAATGAGCCAAATAGGAACCATAAAGGAGCTTTAAAGGAGCTTGAAAGGAAATTTTAAAAACGTGTTTCTTTGTGCTCTTTTGTAAACGAACGATTTCTGGTGTACTAGTAAACTTTTAGAGCTCGATTTTCTTGCCCAAATCTTGTGAATTAAGCTAAGAAACTCACCATGAACGCAGAACATTGTATGTAGTTTCCATTTTTGACATGAATCGCGTCCCAGAAGAAGAGTTGTGGCAGTGAGCAAATGATTGCCAGCGCCCACGAGCCGCTGATCAAATTCTGCACTCGGCGAACTGAAGTGGCTCCTGGAATTTCAGATTTTGCAAGAGATTCTAGATCCGAAAAGCTGTTTAGACTATTTATTTCTACTGTTTAGAGGAAAATCACGGAATTACTTGCGAAAATCTCTGTAATTCCGCGCCACTGATTTAGGGAAAGTGAATTAGGCTCGAATTAGGCTCGGATTGGGCTCGAAAGGCTCGAATTAGGCTCGAATTGGGCTCGAAAGGCTCGAATTAGGCTCGGATTGGGCTCGAAAGGCTCGAATTAGGCTCGAAAGGCTGGAAAGGCTCGAATTAGGCTCGAATTGAGCTCGAAAGGCTCGAATTAGGCTCGGATTAGGCTCGGATTAAGCTCGAAAGGCTCGAATTAGACTCGAATCAGGCTCGAAAGGCTTGAAAGGCGCGAAAGGCTCGTATTAGGCTCGGATTAGGCTCGGATTAAGCTCGAAAGGCTCGAATTAGACTCGAATCAGGCTCGAAAGGCTCGAAAGGCGCGAAAGGCTCGTATTAGGCTCGGATTAGGCTCGGATTAAGCTTGAAAGGCTCGAATTAGACTCGAATCAGGCTCGAAAGGCTCGAAAGGCTCAAATTCGGCTCGAAAGGCTCGACTCAGGCTACTTCTTTTTGAATAGATAGCTGACGTCATTGCGCATCTTTTGAGACCAATGCCATTAGGATTGGTCAATTGGAGAAAGAGTTATGAGCTCTCAAAGTCACAGTAATTCAGATGAATCGAACTGAATTGATAACAAAATGAAATGAACAGCATTAAAGCTTTTTCAATTTCAATTCTCAAATTGGCTTCTCCTTTCGGTGACGTTACTTTTTTTACACTTTTACAATCTTGGGTAATTAAACCAGAGTGGGACGTCTCTGTGGGGCTTTCTGTTGGCCGTGCGCCATATGCTTCCTACGAGACATGAGAAAGGTGTACACAGTCGCGTCGTCTCTTCTGACAAAGTGAAGATTGCTAATAAGCCAGATTTCCAAGCCAACGTTAGACTTGGGTAATTAAACAGAGTCTATCAGAGTCTGGGGTCTCTGTGGAGCTATCTGTAGAGGCCACAAGGCCAAACCAGATGCCGTTTTTCCTAGACGCAAAGGTGCACACAATCGCGTCGTCTCGCGTCTCTTACAATGTAAACTTACTACCAGGTTTTGCAAAAAAGTCAAATTTCAACACCAAGCTAAGCTAAAATCAAGATTTTAGTCTTAATTAGATCAAATTTCAACAAAATTCAATCAAAAACTAATTGAAAGCCGGCTTTGGCTAAACTTACTTACCTTTTAGTGACTCCTGGTCTTGAAATTTTGACTTTAAAACAGCTTTGATAACTTTAAGCCATTCCATTTCATCAAGTTTTCATTATTTTCTTCTTCTTGCTCATGAATTTCTCCCAGTTTCTTGAGAAATTTCAAATCTCTGAAAAAGATGATCGATGAAATTTCGACTTTCTAGTTCATTGAGCCAAAATTTTAGTTGATCATTTAAAGGACAAGGTTTAGGTGAAAGAAATTCAATGAAATCCCTTTCAAAGCCCTTTTTGGATTCATAATTCCACCGGAAACATCGAATTTTCATACGCTTGACACAAACGGAAATAAAATGAGAGTCAAAAAGAAAGAGAAAACTGCCAAAATGTGCCTAGTGAAGCGATACATAGCCATTCATAAAAAGTAATATCAGAGGGGATATCACTCTTCTGATATCACGCCTCTGAAATCACCGCGCTGATATCATTCATCGGATATCACCCTTCTGATATCATCCCTCTAATATCACTCCTCCGATATCAAGCCTCTAATATCACTCCTCCGATATCATCCATCTGCTTATCAGACGAGCGCTTTACCACTGAGCTATTTGCTGCTTCCAATAACGTGAAAAAAACCTTGCAATGAAGGTAATAAAGTAAAAAAGATATCGGAAAGAATAATGGACCCAAGGGGAATTGAACCCTTGACCTCCTGCTTATCAGACGAGCGCTCTACCATTGAGCTATTTGCGCCTTCTTGGTCATCGAAGAAATAAGAAAGAGAAGGAAGAAAGAGAAGAAAAAGTTTTTGGAGTTTCAAAAACTAAACCGCGACATTAAAACCCTTTCTTCCGAGAACAGTTACAAGTTACAGCGGCGGCTGAGTGGTAAAGAGTTAGGATGCAAGGCTAGGGCTATCTGGTTCGAGTCCGGTAGCTGATCGTCTCCTTCATTTTTTTCGATTTTAACGCAGTCTCGAGGCAAAAAAGAAAAGCATCATGAGGATGAGAAATTTGGGTGATCAGTGTGAAATTGTCGGTCGAATTCTTGATAAAATCTTTGAGATTTCAAGATTCTAGGTAGAAAAAGCGGAAATTACGTATTTCTAAAGATATTGCAATGAAAAAAATGGCATTGTCAGTTGGCCAGTTGGCCATTGTTGAGTTGGCCAGTTGGCCAGTTGGCCATTGTTGAGTTGGCCAGTTGGCCATTGTTGAGTTGGCCAGTTGGCCAGTTGGCCATTGTTGAGTTGGCCAGTTGGCCATTGTTGAGTTGGCCAGTTGGCCAGTTGGCCATTGTTGAGTTGGCCAGTTGGCCATTGTTGAGTTGGCCAGTTGGCCAGTTGGCCATTGTTGAGTTGGCCAGTTGGCCATTGTTGAGTTGGCCAGTTGACTATTGTTGAGTTGGCCAGTTGGCCATTGTTGAGTTGGCCAGTTGGCCATTGTTGAGTTGGCCAGTTGGCCAGTTGGCCATTGTTGAGTTGGCCAGTTGGCCATTGTTGAGTTGGCCAGTTGGCCAGTTGGCCATTATTGAGTTGGCCAGTTGGCCATTGTTGAGTTGGCCAGTTGGCCATTGTTGAGTTGGGCCAGTTGGCCAGTTGGCCATTGTTGAGTTGGCCAGTTGGCCATTGTTGAGTTGGCCAGTTGACTATTGTTGAGTTGGCCAGTTGGCCATTGTTGAGTTGGCCAGTTGGCCATTGTTGAGTTGGCCAGTTGGCCAGTTGGCCATTGTTGAGTTGGCCAGTTGGCCATTGTTGAGTTGGCCAGTTGGCCAGTTGGCCATTGTTGAGTTGGCCAGTTGGCCATTGTTGAGTTGGCCAGTTGACTATTGTTGAGTTGGCCAGTTGGCCATTGTTGAGTTGGCCAGTTGGCCATTGTTGAGTTGGCCAGTTGGCCAGTTGGCCATTGTTGAGTTGCCCAGTTGGCCAGTTGGCCATTGTTGAGTTGGCCAGTTGGCCATTGTTGAGTTGGCCAGTTGGCCATTGTTGAGTTGGCCAGTTGACTATTGTTGAGTTGGCCAGTTGGCCATTGTTGAGTTGGCCAGTTGGCCAGTTGGCCATTGTTGAGTTGCCCAGTTGGCCAGTTGGCCATTGTTGAGTTGGCCAGTTGGCCATTGTTGAGTTGGCCAGTTGGCCATTGTTGAGTTGGCCAGTTGACTATTGTTGAGTTGGCCAGTTGGCCATTGTTGAGTTGGCCAGTTGGCCATTGTTGAGTTGGCCAGTTGGCCATTGTTGAGTTGGCCAGTTGACTATTGTTGAGTTGGCCAGTTGGCCATTGTTGGTTCATTGGCCAGTTGGCCATTGTTGAGTTGGCCAGTTGGCCATTGTTGAGTTGGCCAGTTGACTATTGTTGAGTTGGCCAGTTGGCCATTGTTGAGTTGGCCAGTTGGCCATTGTTGAGTTGGCCAGTTGGCCATTGTTGAGTTGGCCAGTTGGCCAGTTGACCATTGTTCATTTGACCAGTTGGCCATTGTTCAGTTGGGCAGTTGGTCATTGTTCAGTTGACCAGTTGACTTTCCCTTGTCAGTCAAATTTCATTGTGCTAACGATCGATTTCAATTTGAATTTGAATCAGAGAATTGAATCGGCGAATTTCAATCAAAGAACAAAACTAACAATTGAACATTGGAAAACTGGAAGCTAAACCTTTCTCATCTTTTCTTAGCGTTTTCTGCGTCTGCTTTCTGATAATTTGTCTGATGATGAAGCTGATAACACTTGAAGAAAGCCTACAAAAGCTCCAAAAGTCTCACCTTGTACATGACTTGTGTAAACGACTTTAAGTCGATCCAATCCAATCGCCACAATCACATTTGAGTTCGCATAAAAGCCCAAAGCCGAGAGAAACATGTAAAACTTGCAGCCATAATTCCCAAAGTGCCACTCAACGGTGAAAAGCCAAACGATCTGAAAATTTGGATTCAAGTTTTGGATTCAATTTTAAAGCTTTCTGGTTTTGCTTGGAATGGTTTACTGCTAAGAATTGGATAATTTGACTAAACCATTTCACTTTGGTTGTTAGATTTTGAGGAAACGTTTTTCTTTTCATAATCTTTAAACATTTACAAATCCTACAGTTTTCAAAAAGGCTCGATTTTTCGCTCGATTTTGAAAAGTCTTGCAAAATCTAGTGCACATTTAGCATCAAAATCTAGTGCATATTTAGCACCAAAGTCTAGTGCATTAGCATCAAAATCTAGTGCACATTTAGCACTAAAATCTAGTGAACATTTAGCACCAAAATCTAGTGAACATTTAACATCAAAATCTAGTGAACATTTAACATCAAAATCTGCACATTTAGCACTAAAATCTAGTGCACATTTAGCACCAAAATCTAGTGCATATTTAGCATCAAAATCTAGTGAACATTTAACATCAAAATCTGCACATTAAGCACCAAAATCTAGTGCACATTAAGCACCAAACTAGTGCACATTAAGCACCAAAATCTAGTGCCCATTTAGCACCATCTAGTGCACATTTAGCACCAAAATCTAGTGCACATTAAGCACCAAACTAGTGCACATTAAGCACCAAAATCTAGTGCACATTAAGCACCAAACTAGTGCACATTTAGTACCAAAATCTAGTGCACATTATGCATCAAAATCTAGTGCACATTAAGCACCAAACTAGTGCACATTTAGCACCAAAATCTAGTGCACATTAAGCACGAAACTAGTGCACATTAAGCACCAAAATCTAGTGCCCATTTAGCACCATCTAGTGCACATTTAGCACCAAAATCTAGTGCACATTATGCACCAAAATCTAGTGCCCATTTAGCACCATCTAGTGCATATTTAGCACCAAAATCTAGTACACATTTAACACCAAAATCTAGTGCACATTAAAGATTAAAAGTCGTTTTTAGCATAGAATCTATCGATTTTTCAAAGTTTGATAGGAAAAAGTTGAAAAACTAGCTTTAAAGTTATCTAATTTTTAAATTAGAGTCAATTAGAGTCAATTAAAGTCAATTAAAGTCAATTTTTCTTATTGAATAAAGCTTAAAAGCTTAAAATAAAGCTTTCTTTGCTTAAAAAGAAAGCTTAAAGAAAAAAACCCAAAACTTGATTGGGTTTTCAATTGGAATTAATCATAAAAACTCAAATTTCTATTGCCTAAAAAGTTTTAGAATTAATTTTTCTTGTAATTCGTTTTTTTCAATCTCTAACCGGAACTGAAATCCCTCAAATTTTCTTTTAAAGATTTTCCCAGCTTTTCCCAATAAAATGATGAGAGATAAATTGAATTAGAGAAAAGCTTTATGAACAGATTCAATTGATTTGAAAGAAAACATTCTGAAATTCATTTCTGCGAAAACAAATTTCGAAATTCATCGAAATTCTTCTTAACTGAAGCCTTAAGAGTGTAAAATAAAGGCTTTGCTGGCTTGGCTAGCTAAATAACTGGAAAAAGTGAAAGTTGAGCAAGTAAAATGTTCAAATCTAGAAAAGCATCCTTTCTAGTGCACTGGATTCTTTATTTTTATTTCATTTATTTAATTTCTTTTTTATTTAATCAAGAAAACTAAAGAATTAAGTAGCCAGAAAGCGCGCGTTTATCAGCAAAGTCGACTAGCTTGACTGGCTTGGCTAGCTGGCTTGGCTGGCTTGGCTGGCTAGCTTGGCTGGCTTGACTAGCTTAGCTAGCTGGCTTCGCTGGCTGGCTTGGCTGGCTGGCTTGGCTAGCTGGCTTGGCTGGCTGGCTTGGCTGGCTAGCTTGGCTGGCTAGCTTGGCTGGCTTGACTAGCTTAGCTGGCTGGCTTGGCTGGCTTGGCTGGCTTGACACTAGCTGGCTGGCTTGGCTGGCTGGGCTGGCTTGGCTGGCTTGGCTGGCTAGCTTGGCTAGCTGGCTTGGCTAGCTGGCTTGGCTGGCTGGCTTGGCTAGCTGGCTTGGCTGGCTGGCTTGGCTGGCTTGACTAGCTTAGCTGGCTGGCTTGGCTGGCTTGACTGGCTTGACTAGCTTAGCTGGCTGGCTTGGCTGGCTTGGCTAGCTTGCCTGGCTTGGCTGGCTTGGCTGGCTTGGCTAGCTTGCCTAGCTTTGCTGGCTTGCTGGCTTTGCTGACTTGGTTGTACTTTGTGCTCTAAACGCAAGCCACCTAGCGGATTGGATATTCTCACAAAAAATCCAGATATTTCTATTGAAAATCAAGAACCTAATGCGCTAGAGATCTCGTGTTTAGCACAAAGTAGGTAGGGGCTGTGCGCCAGCCAAGACATTGTTGAGCTTGACTGGCTTGGCTGTACTAAATCAGCCACAAAGTACAATTGAGACTATGAAAAAGCTATTGAAGATTAAATGTGATTAAAACAAACCTTTCCCAATCCGTGAAACAAAATGATGAAATCGGTGACACAAAGGTTTAGCTTGAAGAGGGTGAATGACGTCATATGGTAGGGGCCAGCGAGGAAACTCGTTCGAGCCGTCGGGGTTCTAGAATTTCGATTTTTATTTGAAATTTCACTTTAATCAATTTCCATATAATAAATTTAGATGTGCTTTCTTTTTTGGCATAAATTTTCTTAAAGATCACCGATCAAAACTCCGACAAAATTTCAATTCTTTGAAGTTTACACGGAAAATCGGCAATTTTGGGATTAACAAGTTCGAGAAAAACGTTTTTTTTTGAGATTTTACGTGTTTCCGGTTTAGATACAAGAACTTTGATCAAGGAAAATTCAAGAAATGTATTCAATTTTTAGGCTAAAAAAGCTCTGATAGTAGATTTGATCCAAGAACACTACTGAATTTCAAAATCACAAAAAACGTGAACTTTAAACGCTTCTAACTTGCTTCAAACTTTCTGATTAACATGGTCTATAGCTCAAAAAATAGAGAATCTCAAGAGCTTTTGAATGGAGGAAAGTAAACACGAAAATATTGATTCTAAAGAAAGTTACAGTGGCTTGTAGTCTGACTCACGCAAGTACAGTCCGTCGGACTACAAACCACTGTAACTTTCTTTAGCATTAACATTTTTCTGTCTATTTTCCTCCATTCAAAAGCTCTTGAGATTCTCTATTTTTTGAGCCATAAACCATACCAATCCGACAAATTTGAAGCAAGTTAGAAGCGTTTAAAGTTCACGTTTTTTTGATATGACGAACTGTCACACTGAAAACGCTTCTAACTTGCTCCAAACTTTCTGATTGATATGATCTATAGCTCAAAAGATAGAAAATCTCAAGAGCTTTCGAATGGAAGAAAGTAAACAAGAAAATATTGATTCTAAAGAAAGTTACAGTGGCTTGTAGTCTGACTCACGCATGTACAGTCCGTCGGACTACAAGCCACTGTAACTTTCTTTAGAATTGATATTTTTCTGTCTACTTTCCTCCATTCAAAAGCTCTTGAGATTATCTATTTTTTGAGCCATAAACCATACCAATCCGACAAATTTGAAGCAAGTTAGAAGCGTTTAAAGTTCACGCTTTTTTGATATGACGAACTGTCACACTAAAAACGCTTCTAACTTGCTCCAAACTTCCTAATTGATATGATCTTTTTTTTCCTGATTTTCAGCTGATTCTTTGACCTTTTTGCCATTCTTCAAATCATACTCGTGATTCTTTAACCTCAAAAACTTTCATTGAAAAAAAATTTTCTAAAGATTTACGCGAATTAGAAGAAAAAGATAATCCAATATGTCAAAAACAAAAAAAAAATTCGAAAATTGAATATCTAGGGGATTTGTGGGGGAAATTAATAAACAAGAAAACAAAAATCTCAGAAAAAGAAAACGTAAAACTAATGAATTACGTGTTTTTTGGATTTAGCACAAAAAAAATGAGCAATTTGAGTAAACAAGATTATAGGGTGTCATTAAAAATGAAGAATTTCGTTCAAATTTTGATACGAATCTATTCATTTTTAGCTATGAGTCAAGTTTATGCAATTTTTTTTGGAAACACACCCTTTCTGGCGCAATTCTTCGTTTTTCTTTGGTTGAGTTACCCAATTTTGAGAAGGCTCAAGAAAATCGAGTACAATGTTAAATCTAGCACGCACTATATAGTTAAAGTTTCATTCTGGAAAGCACACTATTTAATGAAGACGATTCTCGGGGCACTTTTCCTCATTTTTCTTGGGTTGAGTTACCCAATTTCAAGAAGACCCAAGAAAATCGTGTACAATGTTAAATCTAGCACCCACTATATAGTCAAAGTTTCATTCTGGAACGCACACTATTTAATGAAGACGGTTTTGGGGGCACTTTTCCTCATTTTTCTTTGGTTGAGTTACCCAATTTCGGGAGCAGTGGAGAAACTCGTGTACACTGCTGAATCTTGCTAGATCCCCTAAGCAAAGTTTCATTCTGGAACGCACACTATCTAATGGACACGGTTTTGGGGGCACTTTTCCTTATTTTTCTTTGGTTGAGTTACTCAATTTCAAGAAGACCCAAGAAAATCGTGTACAATGTTAAATCTAGCACCCACTATTTAGTCAAAGTTTCATTCTGGAACGCACACTATTTAATGAAGACGGTTTTGGGGGCACTTTTCCTCATCTTTCTTTCTTTGAGTTACCCAATTTCAAGAAGACCCAAGAAAATCGTGTACGCTGCTGAATCTTGCTAGATCCCCTAAGCAAAGTTTCATTCTGGAACGCACACTATCTAATGGATAGGTTTTTGGATGTACTTTCTCCATTTTCGTATGGTTGAGTTACCCAACTTCAAGAAGACCCAAGAAAATCGTGTACAATGTTAACTCTAGCACGCACTATATAGTATATACTATATAATCCGTATAAAAAAGTTCACAAATCTTGCTTTCAATCATTTCCCAAACATTCCTCACCTTGATGCTCGCAACAATTTCCCAAAAACAATGAGATTT